AAGCAAGCTCAAGTGCCCTTAGAATAACCAGCTGGGATGGAAGCATTTTCATTAGCCTACGGGGATGGCTGCCACTAGGTGACAGCTGAGGGAGGACCAAAAGTAGTGATTGCTCAGCAAAGGCAGTGTTGTAGCCCTGTTCCCCCTCTTTGCAACCTGCTAGAAAGGCAGCTGCTATTAGGGGATAGTTGAGGAAGGCCTAAAGGCAACTGGGTCCTTGGAAGAATTATTTCTTCTGCCAACAACTGAAATCCAAAGTAGCAAAGATCTGGCCAAAACACTTACTTATCTTCACTGGGACAGTGTGACCAGAAGTTTAAGATCAGTGTGTTGATCACTTTGTGGTTCTAGAAGAGGATACTGTCATCCATTTGCATGCAAGCAGTCACAGAAGATTCTGGTTATCTCTGATAAAGATGGCCTGGGTGCTCCTTTCTAAAGCTGTTGTTGTTTATAGATAGGGTAAGCTTAGCTGCCATTTCTGTCAGTCAATGGATGGGGCTGTGCCTCAGAGGAATTTAGCCAAGTCTTTCAGGAAGATGCAGACAGCTGGGATCCGACTTACTTTATTATCTGTTCTTTTGTGTGCATTTACACTGCAGAAATAATGCAGTTTGACACCACTTTAACTGCCATGGGTCCATGCTACAGAATCCTAGGATTTGTAGTTTTGTGAGGCACAAGCACTCTTTGGTTGAGAAGGCTAAAGACCCTGCAAAACTACAAATCCCAGGATTCCAAAAGATGGAACCCCAGGATCTAAAAGTGGTATCAGAGTGCACTGTTTCTACAGTGTAGATGCACTCTTCACTTACGTGCTGACGGTGTGGGAAGTGATTGAAGGGAACTTCTAAATGCCCTCACCATGATGGCACAGCTTGGTATCAAGAATCTCTGGACTTGCATACAACCAGGGACCAAGAAATATTGCAGGCTTTGAGAGGAAATCTGGTCCCTGGCTGCTTTTGTTCTGTTGATCGGCATTACGCCTAAAAAATTTAAGCATCTTTTGGCTTCCACTTTGCTTCCTAACTCTTAATGCATGTTACCGTTTTTCCATGAGTCCCTTCACCTGAAAGGCTACAAGGTGTGACAGGCAGAAAGCAAACGAATATAGCCACTTTTCCTTTCCTGAGCAAAGTCAATTCAATTCTACTGCCAACAGAGGACAAGATGGCCATCATACTGTCAAGTTCACCAGTAAATTACCATGTCAAGTGGTAGCAGTTTCTTGTTCACAGCATTTCTGACAGGAATCGGCACATTAAGGCCAGGTGGGGAAAGGTAAAGCCTCAAGCTTGATATGAACTTGGGGTCTTCTCTCCCACCCCACATCTGACTTCAAATGGCATTCAAAATAATACTCACTCTGTCAAATGAAGCAGCAAGAGTCACAACCCTGTCAAGGTTGGGACATGTCACTTTCCCAAATGGTGATTTCTGTCAAGAGCTTAGTATATCTCTAAGGATCAAGCACTGGGAGGACTGGCTTAGCAAAGGAGCTAGCTGCCTATAAAAATCCTATTGACTTGTGTTGCAATTTTTAAGAGCTAGACCCTTCCTACAGTGGAGGCTCCCAACTGATTTAAACAGTTTTTCCATCCATGTCCACCATTAAAGTAGCTGGCAAGATCTCAACAAACAGAAGCCAGGAGCACACACATACCCTGCCAAGAAATATGTTTCAACCAGCAAGATGAGGTTGACTCTTTTATGCTTCAGCCTAATTCAGATCCTTTCCTCCTGGAGTTTACCACAGGACCTTTACAAACTTAAACTATGTGTGTAACCAAATACCACACAAACACTGACTAACTCAAGTCATGGCCAGTGTGCTGTGCTAAATGCAAAGGGAATATTAAAAAGAAGAAGAAGAAGAAAATAAGGAAACCTATCTGGTGTTGTTGTTTTTTTAAAGCCCACAAACATGCTTTTTAAAGAAAAAATAATTTTTATTTGCAATATAAACAAAGTCCCAACCTTGGGTTCAGGATATACAGGATCACTCATTTTTCCTTCATAAACACAGAAAGCAAAAGTTGTTCCTCACTAACAAAGTCTCATTTGTACGCAGAGGATGCATCTTTAAGACAACCACCATTGGCACAGGAAGCCTTTATACAAACCAGCTTAAGATACAGATGCACTAAATCCCTGAAAAATAAAAAAATTCTCCTTGAGGTAAGATGCAGTTAGGAGATTCCTCATTTGCTTGCTCATCCACACATAGTGCTCCATTTTTTCCTGCCCCGATGACCCAACAACCCCAACATTGTTACATTTTTTAAATGAACAAAAAAATAAAAATAAACAAACCAACAATGAAAAAGAAATCGTTCCAATATTCTGGTAATATTTCTTTTTTCCTCAAAAAATACACGTTTACATACACACACACACCACAGTTTCATGATGTGACAGCATCAAACATTCTTCCACATGGAGATTTATTGGGGTGGGGGGAATATAAAAAAACTGAATATGGGGGGGGGGAGCTCCGTGGCTTTTTAGAAGTTGGTTTGAGTGAAAGTAGAAAGAGAGACAGGGAAAAAAGAGGGACTACACTGCAGCCAGTAAAACTTTTTTTCCATGTCCATTCTGCCCTCCTCTCCAAAAAACCACAAAATTAAGCACCACTTCTCTCTCTTCCAGTATTATACATTAACGAGAAATATAAACAAGTCTTCTTGTTGTAGAAGGCACAGCAAAGAAGTTACTTAGAAAAAGAAGTTCACCAAAAAGCTCCAATGGCCTCAGAAATTCAGCAGTTTCCCCTCACCTTTGCTAAAAGCATAAATTCCATGCCCTCCTTGTAATTCATATGCAAGTTGTCATCTAGTTACACATTTTAAGTCTCTGCTCTTCTCAAAGATTTTATAACACCAGTAAAGCTTTACTCTCCTTTATCCCTCCCTGTTGTTTCATCATCTAATACACACACACAAGAATCAACTGTGCAAGATAAATGACATCACTGAAAGTATATTCATTGCTTTGGAAGCTGGAATGATTTCAGGCCAGCTAGGTGACGTTAACAGTCATAAAAGGCTGCACAGAGCAACCAAGAGCCTTGAAACATGCTTCTACCAGCTCTGGATGAAAGTGATGTGAGATGTCAGCTCAGGTAACAGAGTGGTAAGGGTAGGGCTGTGGGTTGGGGTTATTTCATTTTTGGCAAAGGTGTTATTTTTATTTTTATTTTTTTTAAAAAAAAAGCACATTGGCGCTTAGTCACCTTGGCTGATTCAGTGCAGAAGAGATTGTGAATGTGGGCAAGGTGGAGAGCGGCATTATCACCAGCTGGCCCTCATAAGTCATGAGAACTCCAACCAGTTGCTAACAACCATTAGCTACAGATTTCGTTCTATCTCTTAATCTCTCCCCTCTCCACCCAAGTACCCAGTAATATGCCAGAAATATATCAAGGCTTTACAATGTGTGCAAAATGCATTTGGTCAATAGAAACATTTGATTTTGTTTTCTTTCTTATCTAAAAAACATGAAATCAAACAAGAACAGAATAAAATACTGGTTTTGCAACCTTGTCTGTACAAACAGTCAGGAACATACATATTTAAAAAGTCTGAACTCAAGAAAGAGTAAAGATTTACCTCTTTTTTTAAAAAAAGTAAACTTGGTTTTAAAACAACAGTCTTAGGCCAACACTTATTGGTTAAGGTTGCCAAGTGCATAAGTCTCCTTTGCTTTCCGTATCAAGCTAACACACACAAGTCAGGTTTGTTTAAGTGTGCATGTGGCATGTGTGTACATGTGTACACACGCATGTGTATGTGTGCTGTGTGTGCATCACATCAGTCTCTACACACACTCACACAGGAAAGCAGTTATTGCCAGTAACAGCTGCGTTCATAATGCCAGGCCATCCCCCACATTAAATAACTCTGATAAGGTAACTCCTCTGAACCCATTTTGATTAGCATCAGAATACTAATAAATGGCATAAGCCTTTTCGGTAAAGCAGCAATCAGACAGCTCTGCTTGGAGAAACCAGTTCTTTCAAGAGTGACTAGAAAGACTTTTCCCTCCACTAAGGGTTTGAAATGCTCAAGAGAAGCTATTCAAGACTTGGGGTTGCCCAAAGAATATCTCCTTCATGTGGATTCCAAGGTGTTCAGCTGAAACAAGTTGTGATTGGTTGGAGTGGTGAAGTAGAGCTGTTCACTGGGTGAGCGGTTGTCGCATGGGCTGTTGAGTCCCAAAGTCCTTTCAAAGTCCAGCAGCTGTCCCATGAAGTTAAAGTTTGGAGAGATATTGGACTTTTTCCTCTTTACAAAGTCATAGGCGTCATTCAGAGACAAGTTGAGCTTCTGCATTAAATAGGCCACAGTTACGGTTACCGACCTGCTGATGCCAGCGAGGCAGTGAACAAGAATCCCACACTTTTTTGAACGGGCCTCATCTGAAATAAGGAGAAAGAGGGAAAGGTTAAACACTCTGGCGCAAAGGAGGAGCCATCTTTCTTTAAATAGGCAGAGCTAAATGGACACCTGTATTTATCAAGTTAGGTCAAATACTGCAACATTTCCATGTATTACTGAATAAAGTGAGCTTTTTCCTCTACAAACACATTCAAAGAACTGCATAAGACAGTGGCAGTCAGTGCTACACAATCAAGTCAGTTAACAAGCCTTAGTCCATTCAGTCTTGCCTTATAAAGATGATGCAAGCAATTGTCCTAAGAAGAAAGGAGAAGGAAACAGTAAATATCTTCCATGAGGAATCAAAACTTTATTTCTGCTTCCAAAGTTCCCTGAATCATC